ATTTGTTGACATTCCTCTTGCCATGTTCGGCGTATTTTGTGACAATTTTTTATTTTCCGTTCAAGATCGGCTTGTAATTAGGGAGACAGGCCCGACCTAAGGTCCCAGAGCGTTCCGGCACGCTCTCGGAGCGCTCCGGAACGCTCTGCGAAGGCCACTGGCCCCGAGACATCTTCCAGAGCCGCCGGATCTTGGAGATTCTCGATTTATCTTCGCCCGGATTGATCCTCGTCCTGGCGTCGTCTGAGGTCGGGATTTCTGGGACCACGCACCAGAGAGAAATCCGTGGCGGCCCGGACGAGGCTGGGACGAGGAGAAATCCGTTCCAGAGCGTTCTGGCACGCTCTCAGATCGTTCTGGAACGCTCTTCGAAGGCCACGGCGCCCGAGACATCTTCCAGAGCCGCCGGATCTCAGAGATGCTCGGTTGATCCGCACCCGATGTGATCCTCGTCCTGGCTTCGCCTCAGCTTTGCGGTGGCGGGCGTGGCGTTCGCGCCACCCTCGGGGTGCCTACGTGGTGGGCCCATGCAACGGCGGGGGCGCTGCCCCTCGGGGGCGGTGCCCTCCCGGGAGGCAGAGAGGCAGAGAAGCAGAGAGGGCGAGGGCGAGGAGGTGGAGGAGCAGTGGCAGCTCTCCCTCCTCCTCCTCCTCCTCCTCCTCCTCCTCCTCCTCCTCCTCCTCCTCCTCCTCCTCCTCCTCCTCCTCCTCCCTCTCGTCCTTCTCTCCTTCATTCTTTCCTTCCTTCCTCCCTGTATCCTCCTCCCTGCCCCCTCCTGCAGAAACAAATGGCACAAACATCAGCTTTTGGCGGTCCGCGCGGATGTCTTGGATCTGCGCTGGGCCCCGCAGGCGGCGCCTCTGGCGCCGCCCGGGGCGCGCTCCCCGCGCCAGGGGGGGGGGTCCAGCTCGGATCCAAGAACTCCGCGCGGGCCGTGAAAAGTTTGTGGTTGTGCCATTGTATGTTCTTCTATCCCTGGCAACTCCGTGTCAGATCGCCCCTTCCTCTCCCTCTCTCCTTCTCCTACCTCCTCCCCCCCCCCTCGATCCTCTCCCCCCTCTCCGCCGATCTCCCGAGGAGAGGGGGATCTATCTCCGCGACGTGAAATCCCTGCTGGACGCGAGGCCTCAGATTGAGCACAGCCCTGCCCTGCCCTCCCGAGCTCCCTCGCGAGTGGGTGGAGCGCGGGCGCATGACGGCTTCGCGCTCCCACATGTCTTCCCCCCCTTCGTCGGCAGCTCCTCCGACAATTGGGCCTGGGAGAGTGGGGGGGCGGAGGCCACTCCGGAACGCGGGGCGTGGGAGAGCGCCAAGTGCGCACCTCGAGCGGAGTGCAGCCAAGGCGATGGAAGGAGGGCAATTTCGGGATTCAGGTAAGTCGGGCATGTCCCACTAGAGGAGGAATGCTCAGGAATTCGCCGGCCCAACGGGCCAGAGGCGTGCTAAGATCTCCGGTAACTTGTTAACAATATTTCTAGTTCGCGCGCGCGGAGCGGCCCCTGGGGGCCCCCGGACGAAAAGTACCCCGGCAAGGTCCCGAGAGAAGCCCGGGAGAAGCCACCAGACCACTCCAGGGGAGGGTATTTTTCGACACCCCTCACGAGGATCGTGGCCTCCGAGGGGGGAGCCGCAATCGACTACCCCCAAGAGCCCCCCAAGAGGCCCTGGGGGCCTCCAAAACGCCGCCAAGGAGCCCCAAGAGACTCCCAAGAGGTCCCCAAGAGGCCCCCAAGAGGCCCTAAAGAGGGCTCCAGGGCCGGCGGCATGAGCGAAGCGATTAAATAGTAAACAGATAGTCTGGTGACCATCTGTCTTGCTCTGTTGACTGTGTTTGATTGATTGTTCAATTATGTTGAGATTGGTCTTCGAAGATCCGCCTGTGGGAGGACATGCCCGACCTAAGGTTTCAGGGGGGGTCTCAGGCTTTCGGACCGCTCCTCCGAGGTGGGTCGGGGAACCTAGTGTTAAGTCGGGTCTGTCCCTCTACAGGAGGAATATTCAAAAGTAGTCCAACAATCTTGTGTAACTTTTTGTTGGCTACTTTTGTATATTTTTGGGCATTTTTTTATTTGTCGTCATAAACCTGCCTGTAGGGGGGCATGCCCGACCTACACCTAGTGGTGGCCGAGGCTCGCCGTAATCACCCAGAAACGCGCCTCATTGAAGAGGCCTCCTGGCTGGCTCCGCCGACCCTGACGGGGTATCGGAAAGCCCCGGGGGCCTTCTGAGAACATTTATTCGGGGACTACAAAGGGTATGGTTCTGCCGGGGTGTGGTTTGCGATCGGCACCGTTGGGGCCCGGGGGGCGCGACACTGCCCTCGCTGGGCCTCCTCGGGGTGTAGGAGAAATCTGTCGAGGTCCCCGCGCGCCCGCCAGGGTGCCTCCCAGGATGTTCCCCAGAGTGCCAGTTGCAAACCACACCCTTTTGCAAACCACACCCTGTAGAGTCGCCGATGAGAACGCTTTTGGCTCTAAGAGCACTTCTGGGTGGGACCACGGGTCTGCTGGGACGGCCTGTTCTGGCTCCACGCCCAGAGCGCTTTGAGGAGGAGCACGAGTTCGGAGAAGACCGGGGAAGCGTAAGACCCGGGTTTGCCGGGACTCGGGTTCGCCATCCTTTTTTGACGACCGCGACTCGGATTTTGACGAGGAGGAGTTTCGTGGGATGTTTGCAGCGGGAGGCCTCGTCAAAATGCAGGCTCGGCCTCGTCATTTTTTTGACGACCTCGTCGGGGATTTCCGAGTCCCCCGTACCCGGGTCTTACGTCTCCCCGAAGAAGAGAGAGAGAGAGAGAGAGAGAGAACACCGCGCCACCTGCGTCCAGTGCCCAGTGCAGCTCTCGGCCCTGGGTCGTGGACCCGGGGATGGGGGGGAGCAGCAGCAGCAGCAGCAGCAGCAGGAGGAGGAGGAGGAGGAGGGAGGAGGAGGAGGAGGAGGAGGAGGAGGGAGGAGGAGGAGGAGGAGGAGGAGGAGGAGGAGGAGGGGGAGGAGGAGGAGGAGGAGGAGGAGGGGAGGAGGGGGAGGGGGAGGAGGAGGACGGGGAGGAGGAGGAGGAGGAGGAGGAGGAGGAGGAGGAGGAGGAGGAGGAGGAGGAGGAGGAGGAGGAGGGCCCCCCTGAGTGCTCAAGGGCCTCTCGGGCTGCCCCTGGAGGGCCCCATTGGAGGGCCCTCGGTGCCTGCCCTCCTTGTCTGCGCGGCGCATGCAAGAGTGGGCACCGTTCTGACGTGTGCAGTTTTCCTCGGCGGGGGCCCTCGAGGAACATCTGGGACCATCCTACCATCTTGCGAGAAAAATGCACGCACGGAATCGGAAAAAAAAAGAAACAACGAAAAAAAAAAAAACGAGAAATGGACGTCCGAGCCATGGCGAGAGAACGGGGTCGTCTGCGCCGACAGCGGCGCGTGAGCTGGCCGCGTCAGGTCGCGCGACAGCGCCCTGGTCTCCAATCTGGCGTGCCGCGCCGGCGGTCCGCGCAAGCCGCCGCGCAAAAGGTCGCTGTGCCGCCTCGCGTAAGACCCGGTTTTGATCTTCGCTCATTTGGCGTTCCTCACGGTACGGTAGGTTTGCGTCGTGTCGACCAGCGGCGGCCCCAGCGCTGGCGTTCAAAAGGTTGAACGCCGCCGGCGACCCAGAATCGATCGATGTTGAACGATCGGACGTTGCGGCAGCGGCCGATCGTTCAAGGTTGAACGACCCCTGCGGTGTCAAAAACCAACGCTGGGGTCGGCACGACACGAACCTGCCGTAGCACGGTGACCGTGCATGGGGGGATCCGACGGATGCCCGGGCCCGCCCGCGGCGCGAAGGCCAGCGCGGCATGGCGCCAGGCGGAGAAGACGAAGAAGGAGCTGGACGCCGCGGTGGAGGCAGGCCGCCGCCAGGGTCCCTTCGATCGGATCGATCCGATTCGGCATCGGTCTCGGCCGGTCCGATTCGATCCGACATTCTTCGGGGCTCCAGAGACGGGGGTCAGTGCAAACGGGGGTCAGTCAGAGCACCGGATCTTGAAGGATCCTGCAGAGCCAGGGTTGCATCGACCCGGGTTTGGGTGCAGGATCTTGCAGGATCCCGCAGGATCTTGCAAAGCCTGACTGGCGTCCGATAGTCCGACGGCCCGATGCGGCCCAGCATTCGCAAGGCGCTATTGTTGTGCATCTTGTCGCGGCCGGTCCGATCCGATTCCGACCCAGTGCCGTTGCGGCCCAATCCGACGCGCGCCCCGATCCGATCCGACTTCCCGAGTCGATGCTGACCCACCACTATCGGGGCCGCCGCCTCACGGAGATCGGGGACCGAGGAGAATCGAGGATCGAAGACGGAGGAGTACTCGGCCACGCGCAGAAGGGGGCAGGGGGGAAGGCGAAGGCTTCTTAGAAACACCCCTGCTTCTTGGAAGGAGCGGACCTTGCCTGCAGATGTAGGGCTGGCGCCTTCTGAGGAGCAGCCGCCTTCTGAGAAGCCGCCCCCCCCCTCCCCGCGCGCCGCCAAAGTCCCAGGCCTCTCCGAGCGTCCATGTGGGAGCGGGCGGCCAGGGGGGCGTCCAGCGAGGCCCGTCCCCCGGGAGGAGCGAGCGGCTTCCTTCCTGGCATGCCGCTTGGCCGAGGAGGGCCCGAGCGCTCCAGCAACGCCCTCCTGGCGTCGAGGTCCGTCGCACAGTCCTGGCGAGTCCAGCAGGGAATGCATGGTCTGGTCGGCGCGGGGCTCTCTGAGGGCCGTCATGGGTCACGGCGTCCCTCTTCTTGCGCCAGCGTGAGGTTCTCGTGGGCCCGCCCGTGGCCTTCTATTGGGGGCCCTCTGGGGGTGTCATGAGGCCGTCTTGGAGGACACGTTGGTCATATTGTGGCCTGCCGTAGCCGTTTCAGCTCAAGACTGTGCGCTCGCGGGTCCAAATCTGCGCCGAACTAATCATCTGCACCAAACGATCAGCTTCGTATAGCTGACGATGCCGAGCTGCGCTTTCATCCACGTGTTTCGTACAGCTCCAACCTCTCTCGGCCATGGCGGGCATCCATTTGACATTCTGCATGATGGGGTTTGTAGTTGCTGCTTCCAGCCAGCACGCAGACATGCAGCTTATGCAGATGCAGCTGGCTGGTGTCTTGCACGGCAGCGGAATCTGGAGACCGCCGCAAGGTTGCCGCACCTCGGTCGAGGGTGATCGGTGTTACGTCGAGGTGATGTGGGCGATGAGGACGGGCATTCAGCAGCACCCAGAGTATGATCTTCCTCTGACGAGAAATTCCAGCTTCGAGGACTTCCAGCAACACTTGCAAGGCACGGCCAGGCTCTCCGGCGTGTGCCCCAAACCATGTGCGGCTGCAGCGCCGAAGTCACAGCAGCGAGGTCGGCTTGGCTCTGAGACCCAGGCGCGTAGCTCACAGTCTGTTGGAACTCCGATGCCTACTGCGCAGCAGGTCGGAACTCCAATGCCAACAGTAATCCACCTGGATGACCTGCTCGTTTCAACCTACCCGGGGTACGAGCAAAGCGGCCAAAATTGCCAGTGCGGAGCAGAGATCAGGGCATTGACGGATGATTTCGACTCTCTCGAGTTATGTGCTTCGGAGTGTCCCTTGCACCCAAATTGCAAGTCAATTGGTTTTCACCCCTCTCAGTCAGTCTGGAAAGGCGGTTGCTATCTTTACGATGCAGAGTGTGGGTCAACGAATGGGCATGATTCCAACACCACTTGTGCCAATCCAAACCCAGAGGGAGCCCTCAGTGTTAACTTCAACAGGATACCGACCACGCCTGCACCTACGGCTTCAGTTGAGCCTTGCGACGTCACCGATGGATCGTCTCCGAGCTATTTCTACCATTGCCAGTGCGGGACTGACATGTGCCGTACAAACGAGGTCTGCTCAGGTGGCAGGGGAGGCCTTTCGTGCGTTCCTCCAGGCATTTTGAAGGTAGAGTGGCCGTGCCTGACGACTTCAATCGGCAGCCCCTACTTCGTGTTTTCTGAGACCAGCGCAGCTGGAGCGCCAGTATACAGCAACACCGATGGCAATTACATGTATTGGGACGGTTCGTGTGATGACATCGAGCGACCTCCGAAATATGAACAGCCGCGGTGGATGCTGGACTCTGAAGAACCAAACATGACAGCAACTGTGGATTTAGATTATGACGCGAATTGCGCTTATTTTGGGCATCATGGTAGTTCAGATTCGAATGGTGTCCCACTGGGGAACACAACTTGGTTCTTGGTATGCGACGGCCAAGGCCTCAACATGACGGTGATGATCACTTACGAGGCGTATCTCCCCACACCGTCACCGACGATGGAGCCTGGGATGCCGTGCCCTTGTAAGCAGTTGTGCGGCTTGTTTCCCTACATTGGCTTGAATGGTGATGGGTGCCTTGAGGAGTATGAGTGTAACCTAAACCAGTATCTCGACGGGCACTTTACCGATATGGACGCGGACGGGGATGGATGCGTGACCCAGCAAGAGTGTGGCGACTCTCCATACGCGCAGGATATGCCTAGGTTCCCGATCGTGGGTCCAGCTGAATGCGACTACGGTTATTACTTCCAGGAGGGCACCAGCGTTTGCCAGCAGTGCACCACGGGCGCCACGCGGCGGCGCCGCTCAGAGGCCTGCGTCGACTGCACCTCGGGCAAAGAAGACCTGGGCGACTTCGACAGCTGCATCTCGGGGGTGTGGCTCACCGAGCCCATATCGGTTGGCGACATCAACGTCTTCGTCAACAAGGACCTCGACGAAAGCGGCGTCGTGCTGCAGAAGGGCGACGGGATCACCATGTCCACACGCAACCCTGGCCACTTCGAGAGACTGGTTATCGCCGACAAGATTGGCTTCGATGGCAGCGAGAGGCTGTCATCATACCACGAGTCGCTGTTCCGCAGAAGTGGGCCCTTCTTTGTGCTTGACCACGGAGTGAACGCAGGGTTCAACAAGTTCGACGCGATCATCTCGTCCTGCTCGAGCACCAGCGGTATCGGAATCAGCTCGCAGTACCCTTGCGGATGCGGCATTGGAATCTGCGATTTCGGGTTCAGGTGTGACGAGCAGTGCTCTGGGAGCAACGCGGTTCTGGATCCCTTCGTGGGCAGCAGCTACGGGGGCGGCGGGTGCTGCATCGGACCCCCGGCCTCTGCTCTGCCGACCCCTTCCCCGACGGTGTCGGCCAAGGGAGACCCGCACCTGGTCAACCTTCAAGGCGAGCACTTCGACATCAATCACGGCGCCCTCGAGAAGGCCGACCTCGAGCTCTCTGCCGCGCAGGAGGGCCAGAGGCAGCAAGCGGCCGGTCTCCGAGCTCGTGCACAGAAGGACACCACTGTCCACACGGTGGCGCCCGATGGCACGCTCACGTACCTCAACCCTGCGCGCGTGGCTGGCCACCCTGCCAAGCAGGCTCGGCAGGGCATCGCCTTCGACGAGGAGGACTGGCGCCAGGCCAGGGCCCGGCTGCATTTCTGGGCTGGTTCCATGAACCGCAACCGTCTGTCTGCCGCATCCGGATGCCATGTGTTCGGTTTCAATGCGCAGGACTCGTGGTGGGAGTGCTTCTTGTGCGACCGCAAGGTCGACCAGCATGAACTCAGTCGCGCGTGGCGCAGACCATGCCTGGGCCATCCGGCTGCTGCTGGGCCGGTCGCCCGTCGTCCGGCTGCAGCCGTGGCGTCTTCCTCTACTGCTGCTGGGGCCCGCAATGGTGCTTTTTCATCTTCTCGTGGGGCCCGCACTGGTGCTCCTCCTTCCCCCTCGTCTGGGGCCCGCAATGGTGCCCACCCGTCTGGTTGTTCGTGATTGTCATCGCCGGGCCGCCGTCACGCCAGGCTTCCTCGCTGGGCGGCGCCCCCACCAAGGCGATGATGTTGGACATCAACCACGTCGGCGAGTTCACCCTGCTGCGCATCCCGCAGGCGCTGACGGGACCGCTGAGGTGGAGCTCCAGGCCACCGTCCGCCCCGAGCACGGGAAGCCGTGCACCACGTACATCACCGCGGATGAGCTCTCGGGTGTATGTTTGGCTCGGCGGCATCGTCCTGCAGGTGGGCTCCTAGTTGCGGTCGCACGCCAAAAACGAAAGCGACTCGTTTTTGGGCCTCCGGGCGCTTGAGCCGGGCACCTCTTACGAAGCTCCATGGTCGAGTATCGCGGATTGGTCCGAGGGGGACATCGTCTTGGTCGAGCAGCAGGCCCGAGATGGCGTCAGGGTGACAATGTTCAAGTCGCAGCGCAGTGGCGCACCAATATGGGCGTGAAGGAGGGATTGCCGACCATAGCTGGGCAGCTTCAGATCATGATTCAGAACATGCTGAGCGAGGACTCCGCCATGATCGTCGTCCGCCAAGACCTACCTGTACAGGAGCACCTGAATTTGGCTGTGCGGCGCTTGAGCGCTCTCGGGCGTGCAGACATCGGCGGGCTGCTTGGGTTCGATGCGCATGCCGAATCGCTAGAGGATGTCACACCTGAGTGCCAGCATCACAGAGACGGGTTGGACAAGAAGGCGGGCCCCAAGACATTGCCAGGCTGGAAGATTAAATGGCAGAAGATCAAAGAGCAGCGCGCCGGCAGTCGCACACCTGGCGGGTCGATCAACGACAACGAGGCGGGGGCCAGCCTCGTCAGCAGGGACACGATGTGCGTCTGCCCCGACCCAGAGCCGATTGACGTCACGGAGGAGGCCGACCAGTCCATGAACTCCGCAAGTTTGATCGGCGGTGGGCGCGATGGCGTCTTCGCAGAGTTCCAGACGGGCCGGCTTGCCGAGGCAACGTGGGACTGACAGCGGTCTGCGCGGTGTCCGGGGCGTTTCCGCTGATGCGCCCGCTTGCAGACGCACCGCTGACAGGCCCGCCCGCCCGCCCTCGCCCCTTCAGGGCCCCCGTAAGCTCGCGGCCGTCGCGGTCTTCGGGGGTCGAGACTCTGGAGGAGAGTTGTCCCTTGGGATTCCCACCGCGGCTGGGCCACCATACACATGCACTCTTTATAGCATGTGTGTTTTTTCCGGCCAGCGGGTCCGCCGATCGGGCGAATCGGCGGGCCGAGCATCCGCAGGGAGAGGGGAGGGGGGGGGAGGAGGAGGAGGGTCATTGTGGAAGCAGGCGCGCAGTTGGCTCTTGGTCTGTTGAGCTTGCTCCAGGATTTGCCGTGCGCGCAGAATTTGCAAGACCGGGCCCGCGCGGCAACGGTCGCGAGCGACCGGCCCCGCTGGCCCGCTGTTCGATCTCTTGTGGACTTGGCATGCATTGGTCGGTCTAAGTATAAGGGAACGTCGGTCATGTTGTGGCCTCTTGGGCCGTCTTGGACCTGGAGCTATCTTGGGGACCTGGACTTCTTTGGCCGTCTTGACGGCCTCTCGGGCCGTCTTGAGTCCATCTCGGGCCGCCCTGCGGCCACCTTCAGCCATCTTGGAGGCCTGTGGGGCCGTGTTGGCGGCCTGAACTGTCTGCCTCGGCCATCGTGGAAGCTCGGGAGCGCGGGCTCGTGTGAGTTCTCATGTGTACCAGCTGTCGTGGCCTCGTGGCCGCGGGCCCATCGTTTTGATCTGGGAAGGGAGAGCGAATGCACCCTCAGAATGCCAGGGGGCACGGAGGTGGTTTCTGTTCCCCCTCGTGCTCATTCTTCACATGCTCCACACGCAGCCTCCTCCTTCTCCTGAACGTATTCCTCTTCCTCCTCCTTGCCCTCCTCCTCCTTCGAGGTTTGGGGTAATCCTTTGTGGCTTACACGAAGTGTTCTTAGAACATGTCTGGGTGAGACGGTCTTGTGTTTAACACATCTTGTTTATGATCTCGGAACATTGCTTGTGTTCTTAGAGCATTTCTGGGTTCTAAGAACATGTCGTGGTAGGGCTCTAGGAATGTTGGGACGCTCGGTCCCTTCTCAAACATTTGCGAGTCGCAACACATCGCTGCAGGTCAGGCCCAGATTGCTAAGGCCTTACGGCCAGTGCCGCCGACCCTGGAGGACGACCGTGAGGGTGAAAGATCCAGGCAGAGGTGTTTTGGGAAGGGGTC